GGTAACCGCCGCCTGGGGGCGGGGCCACGCGTCTCCTCGGACGGGTTCGAGTCCCGCGCGCCGCCTCGGGCCTGTGGCCCCGCCTGGAGGCGTGGTGTCCTCCTGGTTCATTTACAGCAAGTAATTATTATTCATAATAAATCGTTATAATTATTAATAATACTCGCTAATTATCATTAATAATCATTGATAATAATTAACGATTATTATTATTCCTAATAACTAATGATAATTATTAGTTATTCATAAGTATTGTCAATCGTTCATAATTAATCATTACAGTTAATGCCCATTAACAATAATAATTAATAAGTATTAATTATTATAACGATAATAATTCATCATTATTCATTATTATTTTTAATGATTGTTGTTGATGGTAAAATAATGATTCATTATTATAACGATAATAACGAATAATTATTATTATTGGTTTTTAATAATGATTGTTGTTGATGGTAATAACTAATTATGCTTATTAATTACTAATTATAATTATTATTAATTGCTAGTAATTAATTTTAATTACTTAATAATAATAGTTGTTTCCTGGTGGCCAGGGCGCTGTTTTTGGGGTGCAACAGGGTGCTCTGCCGGGGGAAGGCCCCGGCCCTGCCGCCACCTCGATTCGGACAGCCGGGGCCGCCGGGACTCAGAGCTGGCGTGGGACGTGTCCGAGCCAGCGACCGTCCGCGGCTTGCGCGCGCGCTCGCCCTCCACCTCCGCAGTGCTGTACGCGGGGCCCGGTTGCGGCAGGAGGAGGCCTGGGCGCAAAGGGCGAGGCTGGCCTGTCTGCCCGAGAGGGGAGAGCAGGCGGCAAGGGCGAGGGCGAGCCCGCGGGCTCTGGGCCAGGCCCTGACACACCGGGATCCACCTCAAATGTCAACAAGAGCTGGAACGCCCTCGGGTAGCGGGGCCTCGAAACCGTGCTCTTTGAACCGAGCGGAGGTGCTTGCTGCCTCCCTCTCCCGCCCTGCCCTGGCCCCCGTCCCAGCCGCGCCTCGAGCCCGGGCAGGTCACAGTTGCCGTCGTGCTCGTCCAGCCGGGCGCGATGCCCCTGTGCCCCCGGGCCAGCCGCTCGCTTTCTTCCTCCTCTGTTTCGCCTGTCTCCTCCGCTTCGTTTGCCAGCTTGGCAGCACCGGGGCGGTTTCCGCGGGCCCCCGCAAAAGCAATTATAATGAGCCGAACGCATCGTCAGCGCTGTTGCAACGGCGTCGGCTTCCCAAGACACACCCCGGTAGCAGAGCGCAGTCAGCAACCGGAGAACCGGCCAAGCCAGGTTCCTGCGGGTGCCCAAGTCAGGTCTTTCCACAGCTCCAGGGCGTGATACCGCTCCGCGTGGCACGAGCGAAGGGATCCCTCGCCCGTGCTTCGTCCTGCCCCAGATGCCCCCTCTTAGCCTCCGGTCAGGGATCGATCCTGGCGCACGGCCTACGGTTCGTGTTAAACAGGGAGGCTCACGTGGCCGCCAGCGGCATGTGTATTAATGCTGTAATTCCACCTTCAGGTGTGCGTGGCAGGAGCAAGCGGACACTGCCGGCCCCGATGGACGTGGACACTCGAGCTATAACCCGCGGTTTATCGTTTCACCAGGAGCCCCAGCAGCATACACGCAAGCCTTACCCCGTCCCCTCCTGCAGCTAATGGACCTCATTCATCTCTGCCCATTTCTGTTGGTTTGGGTTTTTTTTAATGCACGAATATCACTTGTCGTTGTCGTCCGGATAATAGGCTAGAGCAATTACGGGATCTCGTTAACGATCCGGAGGTACCAGTCCAAGCCTTGTTCTGGGCCTGCGCTGAGAGCGGGGCCCAGTCCGGCCGCCCGCCAAGGCAAGTGGGTCACTGGGGCTCGGAGGTGGCTGGACGCGATGGCAGCACAGCGTTCCCTCGTGTCCTGTCCGCTGCTTAGCCCGGTTGCTAGCCTGACGGCTCAAGCGGACCTTCAGCCATTTGCTGCCTGTCTGTGCTGATGTGTTAGCAACCCTCCTTTCACTGCTAATCCCTTTGGACGTCTACTGTCACAACAGCCATGCGCTGTACGTGACAGACCGAGGGTATGGCAAGGTGAGTATTACTTTACCCTTTTTAAAAAATTTTTTTAAATAGATCAAGAACGAGCTTTGCAAAATGATGCTTCAGATCCCAGCAAGGATCCCACTGCTGCCAGCTCCTCATGCAATCCCGTCTTCTCCTGCAGCGTAGCAGTGCCCTGCAGTGGGGAACTGGGCTCACTGCACCTGCCAGTGACCGCGGCGCTGCTCTGTTAAGTGGCCGTGCCCAGTGCTAAGCGCTGCGCTGGTGACAGCCCGAAGCCGCTCCCCAGAAGCCGACCACGTTACTCTGGCTACATACCACTGTCACGTCAGATCAGAGTCCGCCTCACTGCTCCTATTGGAAACGACCCTTCCTGCTGTTGTGAGCGGTGCTATGCTGCAATGTTCACAGGTTCTCCTCCAGACACCGTTACAGTTCCCAGCGTGAACACAACCCTTTCTATGCCTGCCACAGCCTGCAGTCATCCAGGGATCGCCAGGCACCGTCTCTTCCCAGATGGGTTGCCGCTCCGGTGTGAGCTGCTTCTAGGCCTGGAGCACAGGATCAGGCCCGCACGCTGGAAACCCGTTCATCAGTCCACTGCACCCCAGCCAGAGAGTCCAGGAGGCAGCTTTAGCTCGAGAAAAAGGAAATTGGGGGATAAAACCTGCCTCTCTCCATAGTATGGATGCCCCCAACACACACACACAGACTCCGTCTCTTCTCCCTCTGCAGCACTGATTGCAATGGGAGCAGGGCAGGGAGTCACCCAAGGGAGGCTGCTAACAAAGAAAGTACAAAGAAAGCACAGCTGGTAACACTGGACAGTGGTTTATTGTCACAGTGCAAGGGACAGCCCTGACCTGCTGAGAGCACGAAATGCCTGGGACCAGCCAGGCACTGCACAGCGCCCCCCGAATCAGGGCCTGTATCTAGAGCTGGAACAAATGTTTCACACCCAGGAAAGCAGTTCAGCCAGGCAGAGGTTGTGGGACTTTCCTGCTTGCTCAGCTACTAAGGACACACAGGTAAGCAGGCAGTAAAGCATGGGAACGGGCTGCCTGGAGGGGTGATGGAGTCTCCATCCTTGGAAGGTTTGAAGACCCGGGCAGACAAAGCCATGGCCGGGATGAGATAGCTGGGGCTGGTCTTGCTTTGAGCAGGGGGCTGGATTAGATGTGACCTCCTGAGCTCCCTTCCCACCTGTGAGAAACCACTGTCTGGCATTACCAGCTGTGCCGCCTTTGTACTTTTTTGTTAGCAGCCTCCCTTGAGTGACTCCTGTCCTGCTCCCATTGCAATCAGTGCTGCAGAGGGAGAAGAGATGGAGTCTGCGCATTTTCTGTGATTCTGCAAGGCCAGGAGTCCAAGGGAAAAACCTACAGGTGACACCCTGCTACGGGTGTGATGTTCTTCATTCAGAAAAAGAAATTTGGATCCGGTGACAATGGACCGTCGTGCCATGTCAGAGGAAAGGAGGAGCTGGGCTGAAAGACTGCACATCTGCATGCATCTGCAGGGCTCAGAACCTCTTGGCAGGGGTATCCAGAGTTAAAACTCAAAATAAGGGTGGCACTAAAGACCACTGCAGACACACACATGCTCTAGTGACTTGTCCATGCGTGTATCCCAGCTGCATTAGGCTTTTCACACTTAACACTTGTGCAGGCTGAGGCTGTGTCTACACTAGAGCTTTAGCTCCAGTTAATTGATTGCCAACTAACTCCAGGTAGTTCCTATGTTTGTAAAAGCCAGCTAAGACGTGCCCCGCACCTTTCCCAGGCAATAAACGGCTGGGGAATGCCTGTACTAGCCTTTGAAAATGGGTTAACTGTTTGGAGTTAACTGACCAGGACTGTGCCACCTAGTATCTGGCCATTGCAGTAAATGCCCAGGCAGTACACAGATTAAGAGCTAATTAGCTGCCAGATTCCTTGTCATTAAGCTTCTTGTAGCAAGCATGCAGGGGCTAAGGTCTGGAGCTGCCTTGCATGGGTTTAGCTCCTATGCCTTTGCTGGCCTGCATGGTAAAAGCCATTTTCAGTTGAAGATGCTACATTCAGGCCAGGAGGGAAGGTGCTTCCTCCCACGCTGGGACAGTCGAGACTTTGCCCGTCCGGCTGAACTCACGTGTGGCTTCTGCAACAAGGTACGTACTGCCCCAGTGAACAGGGCTCCTACATGCCTCTAGCTCCTGCCTTGCTGGTAAGCACTGGAAAGGCAGCGGTCATAACAGGGAGCCTCCTACGCCCTCACCTGTGGGCCTTCGAGCCCCACAAAATGGATTTAAGCAGCATACAGCAGTCTCCAACCACGGGTCTCTTGCCCTGCTGGGAACTGCTGTGGACACCTGTCATTCTCCGTGCCTCTCACGGGAAGGCAAAGGTGCCACAGCCCCTTCCCACCAGGCTGGCTGTCCGAAGACTGTAAAACCAGCGGGAACCTGCAGCAGCCTCAGTGCCTCTCAACACAAGGCCTGGCATAAGGAGCAGGGCCAGCATGTGTGTGCAGCAAGCATCATTGTGGTGGTCCCAGGTGGGGAAAGGGGGCCTTTCATTGCAGTGAAATCCAAGGGAGACCTCCGAGCAGCATAAATCCTCCCGTTCCCTTGCCAGCTGCAGGGGTGAAGCGGTAGAAAAACAGGGCCCAGCCCCTGCAGAGCACTCATAAACTCAGTCCCCTCGTTAAACAGAGCAGCTGTATTCCAGACTTACAACAGCCAACTTCCAAAGGAGGAAGAGGTGGGGCAGGGGAGCCGTAGCAGGCAGACCTGCAGTGCGGCACATGGCTGACGTGCAATTATGCAGCACAGATCCAGTCCCAGAGAAAGGATGGGATGGGACGGGACACACCGTGGGGACTGGGAAGGGACGAGAGGTGCAGCCAGGAGGAGGCTTGTGGTGAGCGGGCAGAGCTGGCGACAGAAGGAGGGGAGGCTGGAGTGGGGTGGGCTGGCAGAGCAGGGTCCAACCCTGGACCCCGAGTGCAGCAGGGGGCTCTCAGACCTTTCGTTAGGTTTAAATGCCCCACTTTGAAGTGTTACCAGTACAATTCCTGGTCGGGAGCATTTCTCTAAACACCCCCAGGAATTTGTGTGTCTAGCCCGGCTCTGCCGCCCTCACCATCTGCATCTCAGTCCATCCTCCTGGAGGGAAAAGGACTGTCACTATTTACATCTCGGCACTGAGACGGGTACGGCCCTCCAGCTCAAAATCTCAGCTTGAAGCCCGGACCGTGAGTCTGAGCAGAGTCCAGAAGCCAGCATTTAAGCACCCATCCTTCTCCAGGTTGTCACGAGTGGCTATTCTTAACCGAATGCTTAAAATTCACATTTTCCAACACATGGGAATGAAAGGTTTTGTCAGAAGAATTCAATCCAGTCTCACTTGCACGATGTTACTAACTCCAGAATAAACTCGAGTCAGTCGGTGGTGAGATGGATCAGACATGCCTGAGGACCCTCTAGTGCCCCGCGACACTGGAGCAGGTGATGTGATGCAGCAGCTGATTTCTACTTCAGCATCCATCCGAAGGCCTTTCCATCTCCCTCAGCCAGCTCGGCCCTCGAGCCTCTGGCGAGTCTGCGATCGTGCACACATCTGTGCAGCGCGGCTGAGGAAGTGAGGTGGGACATCTCCCCTCGCCCTCCTCACAGCAGCAGAACAGAAGCCCCTTGCTCTAAGAACCTGCAACACACCGCAGACGGCGAGAGACCCCAACCTGGTGATACCCACCATGCGGGATCTGGCATCAAAGGCCAGCTCCAAAAGCCACTGAAGCCAGGGGAAAGATTTCTACTGTTTTCATGGGCTTTTTCCCTTCCACTTGCAAAGCACCAGGCCTTTTGGGTCGCCGTGAAAACTGCAGGAGGCAAGAATAAAGACGTTTTAGTAAACCTACAAACACCCCCGCTGGCTCCCCAACCTTTTGCCCTGGCAAAGCGCAATCTTCTCGCTTCCAAAAATCCTGCTGGTCATCTTTCCCATCCACTCATCTCGCAGGCTCCCATCAGAAATTGCAGAGGCATAAAGAACAACCAGGATTTTATTGACTTGAAAATACATATAACCATAGAGAATATAGTTTTAGTATTTCTTTCTGAACAACAGTAAGGAACAATTTACATTAAAAAAAAAAAACCAAACCAAAGCATGAATAAAGTAATATCAAACAGATATTATACCATTGTGTGGACTTCCAGTAGGATAAGAAGGACATTTAGCAGCACTTCTACAAATGTTGTAATAAAAGCAACAACACGAGTTCAATCTCATATAGACGATTCCCAGAGACCAAAATGGCATCCTATGTATAAAAGCAGCAATTCATTGTAGGGCAACAAAAGGTCTAACACCCGTCCATAAAATACATTCATCACTCTGCCCTTCTCCCCTATCCCACAGAGCCTTGTGCCAAGATGCAAGTAATTTCCTTGATCCTTGTAACAGGGCTATGGTCCAAAGTTTCCCCCTCGACTGAACGAAAGCTAACATAGGGCGATATATGCGGTTTCGAATGACAAGAGGTGCCAACTGCGGGTCCAGCATTAAGGACGAGTCTTATTTTGTGCACCAGAGAGGGGTCAGACCTCTTTTATGTAAATACAGCTTTCTCCGTCCTAAGCTCTCGGGATTTCCTCTCTGAGAACAGAATTTACAAGTAGATCTGTTAATTTAGAAGTAAAAATTATTTATTTTTAAAAAATAGAACCATAAGAAATATAATATCTCATGTCAGACCTTTTTATTTATTTTGCTCCTTTTATTGTAGGAATGCAACAACGCAGACTCTTCAAACTCCCCACAGTCTTAGAGCTGGTTGAAATCTTGTGCATAGACTAGATTTAAGGGCTTTCAATGTATTTTTTTGTTTTTTAAAGAAAAAGTAAGACATGGTCATTTCAGGCTATTGCTGGAAATTTTTCTATGAGCAAAGGCTGAAGAATACCGTCTACTCCAGAGACTTCCATGTAAAGCCGCATTTTTCAAAGCAAGTACCTCTCGCCTTCTCGTACGGTTCCTTACGGGACTGAGTTTGCAGCTTGCCCTTCACAGAGCCACGGTCTCCGTTCACCAAGGTCCTCTTCTGTGCCTCCTGACGGCACGGGAGGCTTTGGTCTGTGCCTAGGGGCAAGAGGGCTCCCTCGCACGTGGCCACAACGAGAGGCATTTGAAAAGTGAGCAGTTGCATCGTCTTTCTGAACAGAATTTCAGTTCCCAGCCTCTGCTGGGGAAGGAACTTTCAGTTGCATTGCCCCTCAGCCCCTCCCGAAAGCAACACCCCTCCCCTTCCAAAGTGACTATCCTAAATACTTCTCGTCCAAGAAGCAACCACCTCTTACACCACATCGACTCAACAGGGAGGACAGGAAGGGTGGGGGATACCAGGAGCCTGTGCATGCACACGAATGCATGCACACGGGCACGTGCAGAGGGAAAGCGAGGTGCCGGCTGGCTACTCTGTGCCATTCTGGCCACGTGGAGCAGCTGCAAATGCCGCTGCACTGACCAGCACCTTCCAGCTACTTGGTGCTGGCTGGAGCTTTGGAGCAGCCCCAGAAGAGGAGTCAGGCCCCAAAAGCCTGAACCAACATTTAAAAAAAGAGCGCAGAATTGACAGCTCATTTCCTCTAGCCAGTAGAAGCAGCGCTAGCTGCTCGCGCCAGCCGTCCCTTTGGGTCTCCCGTTCAGGGCTAATTTATGAAAGTGACAGTAATAATAATAATAAAAAAGAAACTTCTTGGACAAAACCTGTTAGAATGGAATTTGGTCCGAGAGGCCTTACCGCCGACGTAGGGCAACGTGCCTCGAAAGGATGGTGTGACAACTGCACAAACTAGCTCGTTCAGAGCTAGGGCTAAGCTTAAAAGGAAACCAAAAGGGCACCACTGCAGAGCTGCATAGTGAAGGCCCTGCCCTGAAGTAACAGCACGAAAAAAATTAATATAATGCATCTAATCTGGGGCCGCAAAGACTCAGATGTCTCAATGATGAATTGACGTTCATCGCATGGAGTGACAGGGTGTAGATTCAAAGGTATGTGGGTGCCCTAACTAGAGACACAGACAAGGCAAGAGTCAGAAGAATGCAATAGAGGGGATTTGAGAGAGGTTTGATTGTGCTACGTGCAAACAACTGAAGTCCCCACTTCAGGGGGTTTATTTCTTATTTCTAACAATAGTTCTGAAACGTCCATGTTGTGGGAAAACTGGCACTTCATAAAAAATCAATTGTGCTCTTTCAATATCTAAGCCACAGGGATTACCAAAAATTCCCTTCTCCTGTACGTCTGTCAAATGTAGAAGTTTTTCTTCCCATCATCTCACCAATTTACCTGGCTCAGAGACTATGGCTGACTGAACAGGAAAGCTTCAGTACAGGACTGCAAAGCAGCAACTGCTGTGCACACAGTCAGGCCACTTTCTCTGTGTGCTTGTGCACATAAGAAAAAAGTTTTACGTCATGGCTGTGACAAGGGTATTGGGATTTGAACCATGGATCCTGGATGGCTCACTATGCCAGTGGAGAGGGCAAGGAGTGAAAACCAAGTCCACAAGAAGGACAATACAGTTTAAAAAAAAAGCCATAAGAAAGTCAAGGTACAGCATGAACGAACTTCACTCCTGGCCAGAGACCCAGTGCAAAGGCCAGGCACCTCTGATGTCGGACTTAAGTGGGCTACCTTGGCCCTCTGCCTTGGGTAGGTTTCACCAGAAGTGAGCTGAAATGATGCCGTCTACACTACAACATCAGGAGCAATCACTTCCCCTGGCGTGGTTTTAAATTACTGGTAGAAAATGATAGCTAACACCTGTGCTGCAATAACCGCTAACGTTTAGGTACTAAAAGGCAGTTTAAAAAATCATAGTAACAGTACAGCATGCACAGGTTTCCAATGCAATCTTGGTCTGATGAAGAAAAATCTCAATCTATATGAGCAAGGTTTATAGAAAGGCGATCCAGAGACTCAACACAGTTCAAAGGAAAAGCTGTCTCCTATAAAAGACACAGTCAGGAACAAAGACCACTTTCAAAATGCTCACATTAGTAACGCCAGAAAAAGATGGGTATCAAGAGTTGTTTGGTGGGTGGCATCCACAGAAAGCTCAAGTACAGGCAGAAGCCATTAGCAACCCCCAAAGGAAAGGAAGAGGCTGGGATTTGGTTTGAAAGCCAAGTGGAGCGTGCTGAGCTGCTCCAGCTGCAGGGGCGCCAGGCAAAACCTATCTGCCTCTCTGCAAACAAGTCAACACAAGAGTTAACACGAGACCCCGTGGGGCTCATCCTGGCTTGATGCAGGATAAGTTTCAGCCACGTGGTATTGTGAGAAAGAAACCGCAACTCCTTTTCTCATATCATGATCCTCGTGTCTACCACGGTCCCTGGCCAAGGGTTCTAGCTTGGTGCCAGCCCACCTGCCGGCACAGTTGCACCAAGAGGTGTGAACAACTGTATATCAATGGTATAGCTCCATTCGCCTCTCTGAATACCCCTAGGGTGGCTTCTGAAATTGAGGGCCAGGAGGGCACAGATGTACAAGCAGGTAGAAAGGGCCGAGGAGAAGGTAGAGATTTGACAGGGAAACTAGCAGGATCTGCACCTGCCCCTCTGCGCTGCTCTAAAATCCAGGCAGAGCCTTAGCCTGTGCTGCCAACTCTCATGGTTTTTGGCATTGTTCTTAAAGTCTACGTTTCAGGAATGTGAAAAACTTAGCTCTTTCTTTCATCTATCTATATAAATAGAGATAAAAGAAAGCGAAGTTTTTCACATTCCTGAAGTGCAGACTTTAAGAACGGCAAAAATCATAAGAGTTGGCAGCACTGCTTAGCAGCCCTTCCTACCCCATACGTGTTGGCATCACGAGCCTCTGCAGCTGCTTTCACTCACTAAACTAACTGGCCAGCTCTGCACAGAAGCACGGTGGCTACTGCACTCAATCCTCCACTCAAAGTTACCCAAGGAGAACCACTGTGCCTGGGACCATGCCTGGGGAGCTGAGCTGGGACCAAAAAATGCCACAACTGCCGCCTGTCACAACAATCAAATATGCACGACCTGCCGGCTGCAGCCCATGGAGCTCAGAGGCCCAACAAGGCGCCCCAGCAAGAAATGCAGACGATGAGCTCAGCCACCAGTGCAAGACGTCCCGGGGAACACATCGTGCTTCCAGATACACATGTGCAGATGCCGCTGAGTGTGCAACAACAGGATTCGTTCTACCTCACCTGTACCAGGAGGCACCAGCTCACCCCCGTGCTGCAGTTGGCGCGCAGCACTCAGTGGAGTCGTGGTAATCAGAGACTCACATTCATCCCCTGGGCTTTCCTCGCAGATGCATTTCACACTCATTTCCTCCCTGGATCCACCTCTGATCAGCTGAGCTTTCCGGCAGAGCAATCTGGAGACAGCTTTTTCCAGTTATATCTCCACTTAAATTCCTCGGAGGATCAAATCTGCTACAAGAAAGTCCTGATGCTACACTGATTGCTCCACCAGGCTGACTAGGACTCTAACTATCAGGAGTGAACGTGGAATCGTAGCCGTGGCAGATCATGGCTGCAGCCCATTGCTTTTTCCTTTCCCTTCCATGGGTTTAAAAAAAAATCAGAGTTGAAACCAGCAAAGCCGAGGTTGCGAATAGTCTTTACCTGCACTGAGCTTCTCATGGCTGCAAATGAACAATTTTCACAGTACAAAGAAAAGAGACGGATTGGCACATCATTGAGTAGGTGCTATAGAGAACCACACAGTCCTTAGAAGCATAAGGTTTCTTTTTTTCCCCTCAAAAAAATACCCCACTTGATTCACATATTTTTCTCTCTATATATCGTGTGTGTTTGCGTATATATATTTATATATATATATATATAGACACTATCTTCTGGTAAACATTTACAAGATATGTTTGCAACATTGAAAAGATATATCTCCATTTGCATAACAATTCACACTCACTGAATTCAGTATACAAGGACACACAGTAATGTACAGTCAATAAATAAATACCTTTTCTCAGAAGTTATTCAAAAACACTGCTATTGAAGGGCCCAAAGACACTCGCAGAGAATACAGATAGCAGATATTGTGCGGGATTTCTCAGCTATCTGTCCAAAATAAAATAAAAGCATGAAAGCTAAAGTGTCAGAGTTGTTGCTTGGTCAGATGCAGTATTGATGCCAAGCTAAAGGTCACTGTTCCTTCGCTTGGCTATAAAACAGGGCGTTGTTCACAGCCCTTCCCTTTTGAACAAGGCCATTCAATGTGCTTGTTCCCCCGATCTACCCTCCGAAGAGCTATGTGGCCTATGCCCAGGAGTAGGTCGTCAGCATAGGCCTGGGGTCTGCTCGCTGCTTGACCGAAGCTCGAGAGATTCCCAGGTGAACCTGAAGGTTTAAAGCTCAAATTCTTTTGATTCCTAGTCACCAGTTTCATATGCTACTGCAGGCCAGACTTGTTTTCCCCTGGCAAATTAAGTGCTTTTTGGAGATCTAACAGGAAATTGCTTCCGACGGGTTTCCTAACTGGAGCAAATAAAGTACACAGGGCTCGCAGCAGAAGGAAGCCAGAAGACTTCCTCTGTGCCTATCACCCGCTGTATTCTGCTCCGGAAAAACGCTTCAGCAGGCCCAGACCTCTCCTGTTGGGTAGTTACAGCCTCTGCACCCAGCGTGTCAGACTGGCAGGTGTGCTCGCACACTGCAGACTGACCGCCTCCGCTCTGCCCAGGCTGCCGGGGTGTTGGTTTTTCTCCTGCAAGCAACACCAGAGACACACCACAAGGACATATGGACACGGTCAGCACAGAGGAGCATTGCACAGGGAAGGGGCACAGCAGCAACGCGCTGGCTGGCCATGCACCCCTTCCCCTCCTGGTGAACGCCCACCCTCAGCACGGCAGGCCGAGGCAAGAACACACTGACCACGCGTTTCACAGCTGGAGAACAAAGATTTTGCAGCACGACTGGAGAGAAAGCGCCCTTCCTAGAGCCACCGCCAGGTGTTCCCCGAGTGGCCGGGAGCACAGGTTCGTGGTCCGCCACGTACGGACTCAGTCGCGACCACCACCCCCCTGGGCTGGTTCCCATGCTGCTAATCAACCACTTCTCTCCTTTTCCTTTTTGTTTTTACCTGAGTTGAAAAATAAACCCAACCTTGCATTCAAGCTAGCCTTGCTGGTTACCCTCCACTGCCCTCAGCTCTCCACCCTCCTTGTGCTGGCAGAGGCACTTTGTGCCACAGGGACCATGGGGTCCCCATGCTAGAGTGCCACTGTGGGGAAGTGGCCGAGGACCTGCACACAGGGTCCCAGAACCTGCCGGGGCCTTGCCCCAATCCCTCCTACCTGCGTCCAATACAAAGCCCGCTGAAATCCAGTGGGAGGCCCACGGTCACCAAGTCTAGACTGATGGACAGTGCCCAGTGGCCGGCTTCTCAAGTGCTTGGAGGCTACAACTGGGACCAGACTCTGAGAGCGCGCTCAGTGCTGGGCCTGCACAGCTCACGCAAGGATGCAGCCAGAGCCCAAGCTGGGGATGCTCACATCCCAGCAGGATGCGCAAAGATGGGAAGGGGAGGGGAACAAAAGGAAAGGGATGAAAGGAAGAACTCCCCTGACTGGAGACTGCCACAGGCAGAGCCTCCTGGCTCCTTGTATAAAACTAAACCAAGAGCATCTTTGTTTCTCCCAGGCTCGCATGGGTGCAGCCTGGTTTCTTTGCCATGAGGCAGAGCTGCCTCTGGGGGAAGTGTTTGCCTCCCCCACGGTAAACACTGCGGAGTTCAAGGCAGACTGTAGGAACGGCGCCGACACAGCCTGCCCGTCTCCCTGCCTCTCCGAGCATGTGCTCCCACAGGACGGCGAGAGCCAGAAGCGCCCTCCCGCTCCTAACAGAAGACCAGGCAGGGCCTGCCCTGATTCTCTTCCAGGGACATGCGGATTTAAATGAAAATAAGATGCAGATGTTCAGATCTTTGGTTAATCACTGAAGACGAATGCGGAGCTGAAGAACTAGAGTGAGGAGCCCCTGGGCCTAGTGTTGAAGCTCACCAGCACCACGTGCTGGGAGAAGGGTGCTTCCACTCTCACGAGCAGCATGTATCAGACTACGGCAATTTGTTTTCACAGATGTGGCACTTTAAGAAAAAGGAGAGGGCAAAGGAAGCATTGGACGGGAGCCCCCGACCCCTTGCTGAATGTGCCGCCTTCCGCTCCCGGCCTTCATTTGTTCTCAATCAGCGTCTGGACCTTGTACACGAGGTCCCGGGCGAGCTTCAGGATCATCTTGGTGTTGTGCCGCTCAGCCATTTCTGGAACATGGGAGGAAAAGGGGTTAACAACCCAACCCAACCGCCCAGCTCCGTGTCTTGAGGGGTACTCGCAGCCCCCAAGGTCACATCTCTGCTCACTTCACTGGTTTCAGCAGGGGCTGGAGCCCATCCCAGCAGGTCCTGAGCCCTTGGACACGTCTCTGCCCTGACCCTGTAATGAGTTGTGAACTAAATCGTCCCTGTGGGGACTAACCCTTGTAGGGAAACGTGGCCATATTGTGATCAAAGAAACAGCAGCACGGAGCAACTACTCCCAGGCCCTGGAGTGAGACAGAGTCCATGTGAACCCATGCTCCGAACTCCAGGTCCAGCCGCCCATTCCCCGGCACAGCCTTGCCCTGTCTTGCTAAAGGCCTCTCCACCTCTTAATGTCTTGCTAAAGGTCCCTCATCCATACAGCCAAATGCAGGACCTCGGCACAAGCCTCTGCACGCTGCAGGCCAGCCCCCTGCCACCTGCCCCTGGGCCATACCGTTGAAGAACTTGATGATGTCGGTGAAGTCCATGTTGTTCTCCAGGATGATGTCCCGGTACATCTCCACCAGGGCCAGGGCAATGAAGAGGACATAGTGCGAAGAGGAGACACGCGCCGCTGCCCAGATGGTCTCCCAGACAGAGAAGACATCATCGTACACCAGCTCTGCTCAAACAGGAGAGACAGCCACAGCTGAGCCAGGGCCTCCTTGGGAAGCATCTTGACTGGGAAACCCCCTCGTAGGTCCCATCCTGGGGAGGTCTCAGACCGTTGGTGAGAGGGTTTCCACGTCAAAGGGCAGGACATGGGAGAGGATCACAGCAGGGAGCCCAGGTGAGCTGACAAGAGCCCCGTGCACCAGGCACGTTCAGGCAAGGCCAGGGGCTGTCCAGAGGGGATGTCACAGAGCAGAGGGACCCTAGGGCAGATGCCCGGCCACCCAGCCCGCACCTCGCTTGAAGTCCAGGAGGAACCATCGATAGCAGAAGTAGAAGTGGGTGTAATCACCGTTCTGGTGCATCAGCTCGAAGAGCTCCGAGTCCAGGATCTGTCCCAGAAAACCAAAAGAGAGCCCAGGACCCACTGAGTGCTAGCGATGCCTCCTGGAGCCCCACCTCTGCCCGCAGCCCCTCTGGCCTTCTCCCACTCCTCGGTACACCCGTCATGCTCTCCTCTGGAGTCTTCTCCTGCAGGCCCTCCTTGCACTCCCCAGGGCTCTGCCTCCACACCCCTTCCCCCAAGCCCAGCCACTGAGGTCCCTGCTAGCCTGAGCAGGCCACCCAACAGGCCATCATCACTGCCGCTCCGCAGGCCCCGTACCTGGATCAAAGACCGCATGTTCGCAAAGTGGGTGTCCATAGCCCCCCCGTGAGGGAAGTTCTGGTTCATCCTTTTCATCAGCTCTGTGAAGCAGCTGAAAGCGAGCGCCTCTGCAGGGGGCAAGAGGGGGAATGTCACAGCCCTGCTGCATGGAGGTGTCCCTGTGCCAGCATGCACATATGAACGACACGATAATACATAGAGACCAGCAGGGGTGTCCATGTGCACACGCGTGAATGCACCCCACCCAAGTGCCCAAGAGTCCATGGGCTCCCTTGTTGACCTCCTCTCCAGGGGACACACCAAGCAATGAGCTGGGGGGACCAAGTTTTCTCCTCTAGCACTAGATGGAGTGAAGCTCAGCCCAGTGGAGCAGGGGAAGCTTGACCGGCGCCCAGCAGCCCTGTTTGGGAGCCAGATGGAGGCACAGCAGCGGTCTACAGTATCCTGCAAGTAGCCGTGCCCAACTGCAGAGTGGGATGACCCCAACTCGCAGGGGTCTGACCAGCGAGCTCCCCGCCACCTTCATCACCAAGCTCTCCCCGCACCTCCACCTCTTAATGCTAAGCAGCCCACTCACCATCATCCAGAACAACTAGGAGCGGTGCCAGCAGGTCACACATCCCCTGCACGTATCCGATCTCAATGTGCTGCCAGATGTAGCTAGAGGAGACAGTGGGGGGACGGGACATGAGCTCTCCACCAGTGCCAGGCTAGACATCCCTGCCTGTCACATCCTCGGGAAGGAGGGGAAACTCCAAGGGGCAGCTGCCTTCTGGGGCGGAGCACTTAGCAATCGCCAGCCTGTCCCAGCGATCCCACATGGCCAAAGCCTGATGCCCTGGAGCCCAATGCCCTATCGCTTCATGCCACCATTACCAGTGCTGGGTCCGGGCAGGGAGAGCCAGACCCCAAGGTCCCCCATCCCCATCACTGGTAAGCACAGACCATGGCAATGCAAGCAAGAGCCTGGCCTCCTCCTTTCTCTGACCCCAGCAGGCTGGAAAGGAGCCCCCAGCATGGCACTGCTGCAGGGCTGTACTCTGGCTGCCCAGCTCCAGGGTGCCCTAGGGCTGTAGTCTCAGTGGCACCCAGGAGGCGGTGGTGTGACCCACAGGTCGCTGAAAGGATCACAGCTGCCCCAGGGCTGATGGAGCTTGCTGCATCCTCTCCGCTTCCTTGGGGGCTGAAGCCACAGCCATTCTCCCTGTGTCTGGGGAATGCCCTCCACTGCCCCACGCTGCACCCCCTTGCTCCAGCCTCCCTGGAGAGCCTGAGGGTGCATGCTTGGCTGGACATGAAGTGTGCAGCCCCAGCAGTGCTCCCAGCCCCTGCCAGCCTGCTAAGGACAGAGGGCCTTAGGCCAGCATGGCAAGATGGAAGATAAGTTCCTTCCCTGTATTGCTAACTCCTGCAGCCTTCCCTTTCCCCCGCCGTGCCCACCGTCGGCTGTGCTGGCTCTGCTCCCGCATTCCCAGCAAGTAAGAGGACATGTGAGGCTAACTAATTAGATGCCGGTGCCTGATGAAGCAGCATGGAGAGCTGGCCTGCTGGGCCTTGCCCGACATGAAGAGGAGCATCCTCCACTTTGGCCAACCTATGCTGAGCTGTGCAGTGTGTGGGGATGGGAGATTCATAGCAGAAGGGCACAATGCAATTGCTGGACCCTGTGAGCAGCAGGTGCTTTCAGGCTGCTGCCACCGTTTCCTGTGCCGGTGGAGCAGGTCTGAGTTACTGACGTGGTCAAGCAAGTCACAATCCCCTGTGTTAAGGCCCTGACGCTAGGATGTGCTGGGGTGGGAGAGCTGTATGGCGCTGGGGAGAGCTGTAATCAAAGGATGGGGTTGGAACCAACCCCTTTGCCCTGTGGCTGCCTCCAACCTGAGCCCCGTTTGTAGCCCTCCCATGTGTTGGTCTGGGAGCTGGCCCCTGCCCCCGCCCCTGCCCCAGGAGCTACCTGCACATGATGTTGCGCAGCTTCTCGAGGTTGGCAGGTGTGAAGTACCAGTAGTTGCGGTCACAGCGCTGCACGTCCTTCTCGATGCGGTGCAGGTTCACTGTGTACATGTCCAGCAGCTCCGGCTGCAGAGACAGGGCAGAAATTGCACAGGCCGAACCCATCCAGCCCATTCCCCATGCCCGGGCTCCACACGGCCTGGGCATCACCCTCTCTGCACAGAGGTGTAGGGGTTAATCACACTGCATTAAACTGTGGGGGTGGCAGAGAAGGTCTCGCAGACCAACTGCAGGGACCTGGGGAAGTGCCTTTGCAAAGGGACCAAATGAGAGCTGGGCACCCTGGGGCGGGGATGAAACCCCCAGCCAGATACTCACAGAATAGGTGACCCCGGAGGAGGAAACAGGAGACACCTCACTATGAGCCAGCTCCGCCACCACCAGCGAGTCCAGTTGCGGGTACAGGCTCTCCATCTCTGGCTCCTCGGAGAGGTTGTCCTCGCTTCCCACTAAGCTCTGCTTTTCAGCTTCACTGTCAGCCCAGCTTTCCACCACAGAAAGGGCCATGGCCTCGTGGCTCCCGTCAATGGGGAGAAAGTCCAAGCTGCCGTCAATGGGGAACTCCCCTTCCAGACTGTCCTGGCCCTGCAGATCCTCACCGGGCAGCTGCTCCTCCGCTGGGGCACTGTCCGAGCGCTCCTGTTTTGGGACACCGGCTTCACTCGGCTTCACCAGGTGGCAAGTTGTGGCTCTGCTGGTCTCCGTCCCGCTGTCCTCCGTGCTGAAGCTACGCTCCGAATAGCCTGATGTGATGGAGAAGTTCTGGGAGGAAGGGTGCCCTGAGTCGGGTGAGCACATCCCGTTGGGCACCATCCCATTGGGGATCTTGGCCTGCTTGCCATCATCTAGCGGGACATCCACTTCTGTCTGCTCCACCTCATCCACCGATTCAAACACCTGCAGGAACAACCACGAGAAAGGCTCTGAGCCTGGGGAAACCCTCTATTTTCACCCCCAGCCTGTGACACAGCTCCCGGACTCCAACCCCCAGGGGGGACACAGCCCTGCTCTGGAAAGGGACTGGACTGGAGACAATCTCTTCCTGCCTGGGCAAGTGGCTCTCGCCTGTATTCAGAGACGAGCACTGAGGAGGTTTTAGTGCTTTCTGTACATGAAAACACCTGGGAGAAGTGAGGGGAAGGGAGGGGGGGAAAAGGAGAGAGAGATGGGTCTGTCCTGCATGTTTCTCAATAGAAGTGTTAGCTCTGTGTTGATAGCAGGACCAGTCAGGTACCAACAAGCAGCCCCCTCAGCTGACCCAGCAGGGCGACACAGGCATTGCAGGAGGCAGAGAACAGGCCTCTCTACTCAGGGTGCAGGGGTAGCAGCTGGCCAGAAGCCTGGGGTTTGATGTCGTCAGCCACAGACGAGAGGCAGGGGCTGGCAATGTCCTTTTTGCCATCATTTTCCAAAGCAGACTTTCCTGCCCCACAGACAGGGCCAGGCTATGCCTGGATGGCTGGAGAAGGTCCCCTCTGAACGCGAGCCACCGCAGAAGACAGCACCCCGGTGTCCAGGTGCCTGGGATTCCACCCAACAAATCCACATCACCCCAAGCACGGGGAGGGCAGCAGCGCTGTCCACATTCACAGTCTAGGGAGGGGAACATCACATGCAGGGACCAAGGTCTCTGCTCCAAGGACACAACTGGGTGCTCTGGCCATCGCAACCTGTGCAGTTCCATCAGCATTGCGGCAGTGCAGCTGCACGTGACTTCAAAGCATCTGGACCAACTCAGGCTGCGCCTGGATTTGGCTCCATCTCTCTCTCGTCTGCCCAATGCCGGCATCAGCTACTGACAGAGCAACGAGCAGCTGTGTCCCACTTATAGCCAGATCCCTGAGGGATTTTCACTGCACAGAGGAGGTCTAGTGTGTCCTGCCCTGGCCCAGTGTGTCCAGCCATCCAGAAAACTTAGTACCTCTGGGCAGGTTTCCTTTTGTGTCTGCAAACTGCAGGTCTCCTCTGTGTACCTGACCAGGTTCCACAATGCACATCCACAGCACCAAAGGCCTCAGCCATCCAGCCAGCAGTGGCTTGGGGCTATTTCTTTGCATGCTAATGCAAAAGGACATCATCTATATTTAGCAGCAGTGTTATTTAAGCATGAAGCAAATGACTCCATGTACAAATCAGCCCAAAGCAACAAACCTTGCAGCTAGCGAGTCCCACGTCAGAGCAGATGTTTTGTGTAGGGCCCACATGGGGACAGGGTGGAGATATCAAGGCCCATCTAGCAATGCGCTGCCTGACCCTGTGGCCTTCAGAGGCAGCACGAGCTGTTTAACCCAGCTCCCTGTAAGGTGGGCATCCCCAAAACAAGCTTGCACAAAGGGAATGTGGAGGGCTTGGTCCATCGGCTCAAGCTGAAGGAGGTCTGGGCTGGGGCAGGGTCAGCCCACACAGCTCTGCCTCTTACCTGCGTGCTGGAGCTGGAATCGCTCTGCAGCCGGGCATGGTTTTGCCTGTCAGAGCTGCAGCTCTGGGAAGACTGCAATAGAGAGGAGGGGAACAGGGTGAGGGGAAGGGTAAAACGCAGCCTGGGCCCCGGGTGGGGGAGTGAAGGCCGCAGCACCCAGCAGGTCAATGTACAAGGATCAGGGGGAGACCACTACTAATAAACACCTTTCTTCAACCAGAGAGGATCACAGAGCCTCGGGTCCATATAGCCCTGCAGGCTATGGATCCACACAGCCCAACAGGTTGCCCCCACAGTGGCAGCCCCTCACTGCTAGAGAAGATGACCCCAACAAGGTCCAGCCCAAGTACTCTCATGCCACATGCCTGGGGCCAAGGTGAACAGTTTTATGCTGGCCTTTAGCAGCCCCAACTAGCTCCACAGAGGGCAGGCCCTGCAAATCCCTCTCTGATTTGGCAGTGATGCAATTCATCCCGCTGTGCTTCACACAAGTCATGGATTTACAGGCTCTGCCTCAATCCTCCTCTATAAAGGTGACTTCAAGACCAAGCGCTGCTGTGTCAGAGACTTGGTCCCAAGAAGACGGGCTACAAAGTAAGAGCAACATCTCCTGCCTTTGCGCTGGTGCGGGGGAAGCAGTGGTGGCAGCAATGGGGGCTTTGCTGCTGCTTTATACCTGCACATCTCTGCAGCTACTGCTGATCTCCCCCAGGGCCCAATTTAGCTGCTGGCCATGCTCGTCATTCACCTGCGTCAGCCGCAACAAGGCACCCAGGCACAGCATCCTTGGAGGATTACTGGTGAGAAAGACCAGCATGGGCAGGACAGGGCTAGGGGCTGGGACCAGCCAGCTGTCTGCACCCCAAGCTGGTAGCTTGTGGGCTGGGGAAGGGCAAGAGCTCTTCCTTTGGTCACCAGCCAGGCTGTCCCAGCTCGCTCCCGTTCACGTCTCCTGCCCAGCCTCGCTGGTCTCCACCTTGGTCCAACACACACTGGCCAAAAGCACCCACGTGTCTTCAGGAGGGCGTTGGAGGAACTCTAAGGGGAGCAGCCCGACAGCTCAGGCAACCTGCACTGGGGCTCCTCTGGCCTCACCTCGTTGCTGATGGTTGAATCTCTGTGCATCATCTTCTGAATGTGGGAATCCAGGCTGGCCCCAGACGAGCACTTGGCCAGAGCCGCAGCGTGGGACTCCTTCTCCCTCTGCCGCACGATGGCCTCGCAGCCCAGCCACTCTGCCATGGTTTGCTCGTAGCAGGCCCGGACCTGCTCATCCACCTGCAGCAGCCAGAAAGAGCAAGTCTGCCTGGCAGCCCCTCCACGCCCCCCTGGACCACACACACCCTCCGCACTTGGGCAAGGGGGAGCTGGCACTGCCGAGCTGAGCACAGCTTCCACAGACATCTTGGCAGTGCTATAGGCTCTCTGCGTACCACAGAGGACAGGGGACCTGAAGCTGGACCTCCCTGCCCGAGGCAGTGCCAAGCAGCTGAGCCAAGTGTTGTTTGGAGGAGATCTGTCTGCAGCTGGACAGGAGCATTTTGACTCCCTGTTCACAGTCCCCTGGCCTTTCCCCTGTCCCCACTGCATGTCCCCAGCTGTCAGAGCTGCAGAGGCTGTGATGGTGGGTTCATCAGAGCCCAGTCTTTCCTATGGGCAGGGAAGAGATGCAGCAGCAAATGGGCAGACTGTTCCTTCTGCACAGGGCCCAGGCACCCATGTGGTTCTCCCACTGGCCATGAGAGCGCCTGCTGCCCCCCCAAAGTTCATCCCAGCACTCCCCAGTGACAGACCGACCTCCTTCTGCTCTGCCTCCGTCATCCCAAACTGGTAGTGGCCCAGAAGGAAAGGCCACACAGCTCTCCGGATCTCATGCTGGATCCCACCGTAGTAAACCAGCCGCAGCAGTTCCTGCTCCTCGTAGCTCTGTGGAGGAAGCTCTGAGTCATGGAGAGGCACCGGGCAAGTGGGACGTGTGCTGCAGGGCAAGTGCAATCCCCTCCACCCTGATCCCAGCCTTGCTGCTGCCAGAAGTGCTTCCTGATGCCCCAAAAGCCTGACACCAGTGGAAGGCTACAGGAGACTGCTGCCACCGCATCCTCTAGCCTTGCTGACGCCTGAACCCTAGCGGCGCTGTGCTGCCGACAGAATTGGGGACAAGGCCATAAAGCTAGATCAGAGCCTGGGGCTTCCCCTCCCATCTCTCTGGGAGACGGACTGCTCTTCTCTGCCACAGAAGAGCCCAGCAGCCTTGGGCAAGTCACCTGACTTCGCAATGCTCCTCTCACGGTACCTGTAAGATGGGTAAAACGCTCCCCGGCAACAGGACATGTCTGAATCAGTTCAATAGTTCCTGGAATGTGTTGTGACAGCTTGGACAGGAGGTGAAGGGTTAGTTATTATTAATTATCAGCATTATGGCATGGCAGAGAGAGGCAGCCGGGAAAGCCGGCAACGCTGCATTTGTCAGCAGTGGAATAACCAAGGGGAAGCCAATTCCTCACAATGGAGGTGGCAACCCACAGCTCATTCCTGGTTCCAGCAGGCTAACAGGGGCCGCGTTCTCCTGCAGTGGAGTGTTTGGTGCCCATGACGGAGGATGGACACAGGGCCCTGCATCCTGGGTGCTTCCTATACACCAAATGCCCCGGAAGGGGCCCCATACCGTGCTGTCCTGCAGGTACTTCTGCCAGATCTCAGCCGTCAGCCCCGAGCTGGCGCTGCAGGGGACATCAGGAGACACAATGTTGTGGTTCACCAGTGCGGACAGGTGGGTGCGCACTGTGGAAAGGTGTCGGCAGTACGCCAGCCCTGCAGCCGGGGAAAGCAAGGACACAGGCACTTGGGACCCGGGTTGCCAGCCAGAGGGGCCCAGAGGAGCCCTGGGACATCAGCAGGCCTGTCTGCCCACCCTGCACGGTGACAGCTTGGTCCCTAACAGAGATCCTTGAGCTATTTTTCCCCTTGTCTAACATTAAGAGCTATGAACAAGGCATCTCTCCCACCCACAGTGTATCACTGCACAGCCAGGGCATGAGACACTTGGGCTAGGGACCCTCCAAATGCTCCCTGCATGCAACATGCAGGCAGCAGCCAAAGGCACCCACGTCCTGCTGGCAATATCAACTTGATCAACCAGGCCTGGTCCTCTCCCCACGCCCCCCTGAGAGACTCAAGAGAAGTTGGCTGAGGGAGATACTCACAACCATAGAAGGCCCGGGAGAGGATCTGGTACTTCATATTGTCACACAGGAGCTTCAGCGGGGCCCTGCCAAAGCAGAAAGGAGCCGTCAGCCCCTGGGAGGGGAAACACTGCAACTGCTGCCCCCACCACGGTGCACCGCCCTGGCCCAAGCCCTCTCTGCACAGACTCCTGGCAGTCACTCGCACCCAGAGCAAAGCCCCTGGTGGAGACTGCTGCGTGCATCTCACCCGTGGCAGCAGGAAAGGGGGAGACTTTCCACTCTGGCTTGTTCATCCTGAACCAGTGGCAGGGGAGGAAGCCCAGCTGCCAGCTCTCCCAAGACCCCTCCAAGCCACGGGTACATTCAAACACACGTTTGCTGTGGTCTCTCCCATTCTATGGGCAGGCTGATGCAAGAACCTGGCAGCCCCAAGCACTAGCTCCACATTAGAGAAGGGGAAATGTAGGCACCAGCATTTTCAAGGGAAATCAGTTTCCACCCCTTAGCAAAGCTTGGTGGGGTCTGGGGCATGGCTCCTATAGTCCTCTAGGAAAATCCCAGCCTTGGCTACCTGCCCAGAGCTGCAGAGGGCATCAGTGGTGAGTCACTGGCTCCAAGTCCTGTGCTCACACCTTCAGCCCTGCCTTTGAGTCTGCAATGGATAAGGCTAACGCTAACCCCACTGGGACATTCAACCCTGCCCCCACCAGTGAATTCTCCTGCCCTCCCTGAACAGGATGAAACAGTGCAAGGCACAGCCGTGATTCTGCTACAGGGACCTCATCACGTCCACATGGGCACCTGCACTGCTGTCGGAGGGTCGCCCCATTCCTCAACCCACCTGGGAGATGCTAGAGCCCCTTATCCCTGACCTCAGGGGGATCTCACCTGCCTGCCGGCAGCACCCACCATACCTCTCATGGTTGCATCCATTGGCAGGGCCACCATCCGAGGAGCCACTCTGGGAGCAGGAAGAGCAGGAGGACTTGCGGGTGCTGGGCTGCCACATGGATGGCAGGCCACTGCCCTGCGTGTCAATCAGGTCCTGGGGGACTGCAAAAGAGTGGGGAGAGAGCCGTCACTGACAGCTGCAAGAGCCCCCGCAGGCTGGGCACTCGACCACCACGCTAAGGGACACGCAGGGAATCTGATTGGACAGCAACAGCCCACAGTGTCCCCAGAGAGATGGCTCCTCAGCACCCGAAGCTACAGCACTCTTGGGAGAAAGGAACAAATGGGGGAGCATTAGTGAGTGAAAGAGAGAAGCCTCAGCCATGCCTAGACCCCACCTGCCACCAGCTCACCCTAATGTCCAAGGAAAGACACCCAGGTTGTGAACAAGCGACCGAGCCAAGGTGTATCGGACATGGGACACCACCAAACCCAGCCCCCAAGCATGAGAATGGCCGTGGCCCTGGAGAGAGCAGGACAGTGGCAGGAGGAGCTGCCTGTGGTGCCAGAGAAAAGTCAAGGGGGAAGAGACTGAGGAAGAACCAGATCAATTAAGATGTCCCCAGCAGTGTGAAGGAGCAGCAGGATATGGTGCCTGCCATGCTGTCACTTACTACACACCCACCGAGACTCAGCACGGTCCCTCGCCACGGTGCTGCTGGCTGATTCAATGTGCAGGGCAATCCAGGCTCTACTGATTCCCTGGGGATTCACTGGCTTCCTGCACTGAGCCCTGCCTGTTCCAGGCCACCCCACAGCTCTGTGGCTATCCCCCCTCTCTGACCTGGGGTCCCTGGCCACTTGGGCTATGGCCACCTCTAAGCAGAAAGAGACAGGCAAGCCAGATCAAAGGTGAGGCGTGGAAGAAAGCACAGCTGACACAGGACAGGAATCCAGCCCGGCCTTGGGAAAGGCTAGGGCACACCATGTAATACCTGCTGGTCCTCCATGAGGGCAGCACTCCAGCAGTGGCTGACCTTCGCAATGCACCCAAAGAGAAGCCTGCAGGGAGGTTCCTACCAGAGTTTCTCCCCACCTAACGCTGGAAAGGGATGCAGCCAGACTGGCACCCTGAGAGGTCTGCCAGAGCTAGGGTATGCCTTCTCGATGAGAGCCCACAAGTGACAACATGGACAGAGCAACAGAACCAACATGGATGGCAACAACATTACACTGGCACTGCTTGGCCCCTGGCAGGGCCAGGAGAGGATGGGGTCCAGTGCAGAGGCTCAGAGACCATTTGGGAATCACCACAACCTTCCTGGTGGCAGGCGTCCTCAGGGTCCTCTGATTCCCAAAGGCAATGGAGGTGGCAGGTGAAGCAAGGGAAGGGTGAGAACGATGGTTAACAGCAACTACAGATGTGGAGACAGGATGAAGGCACAAGTGAGTGGGAGCAGGGGGGCTGCCAGCACAGGGGTACCAGCCAGCACACCGTGTGCAAACGTCCTGTCCATGACAGGTGATGAGAACTCGGCCAGACGGGCTCCGACCACCAGCCTAAGGGGGAATTCTGCCCCCAGCATGGCACACTCGAGTGCCTCAGAATAAGCCCGAGGAAAGAAGATCCTCTACTGATGGCTTTGGTCTTAACTGCAGTTTTATCTGGGACTTAGGCCAGCAAGTTACCAGAGTCAAGCACGGGAGAACCTGGATGTGATTCTGTGGCCTGCAGCACAGAGGCAGGAGTCAGGAATCTCTGGTTCTTGGTGAGTTTCTATAAGCTCTCCTGGCTTCCTCCCTGCGAGACCCCATGGGTGGCACCTCTGCAATACAAAACTAAGACTGGAAGGGAAGCAGCCACTTGGGTCAGAGCACGACATTAAGGTGCGCTGAAATTCAAACAGGATCTGCCTGCCTGATCCTGGGAGGGCCGGAGTAGGGGGCCAAGCCAGATGGGACAGCCCGAAGTGATGTCCCCAAAGTGATGTCCCCAATTAACACCCCAGGGACCAGTTTCAAGATGAAACTGGATGCTTATCTTGCTGGGATCCTATGACCCCAGCTGACTTCCTGCCCTTTGGGCGGGGGGCTGGACTCGATGATCTTCTGAGGTCCCTTCCAGCCCTGATGTCTATGAAATCTATGAAATATGAAATCTATGACAGGGCACCCCTTGCCCTGGGCTGCTGTCCTGGTGCAGAAGGGGCCTAGCCAGCTCCCAGGCCTGGCCCAAGGGGTTCACCTAAGTGCCTGGTGACTGGCACAGAGGGAAGGGAAGGGCACGTGGATCCAGCAGATCTGTGGAGGGTTCCCTATGGCCCTGCAAACCTTTGCTGGGCAGGGGCCCATGACTCAATCCACAGCCAAAGGTTCAGTGCTTCTCTCTCCTTCCAAACAAAGGGTGCTTGTATGTGCCAAAGCCAGAGCGGGGGAGATGGAGCCTCCTTTGTATGTGACACCCTCCCCAAGGCAATTCCTGGAGCATTTCTCTTAGTGATGTCCCCAATTCACACCCCAGGGACCAGGCTGTGCTGCCTGACCCTTGCCCCGCCATGCACACTTACTGAACTCAGACTGCGTGCCAGGGTATACGATCCTGAAGACATAGTCTGTGGCTTCGTCATCTTCCTTGTCAGAGGCCGACTCAGAAGAGCCCTGGGGACTTCGCTTCCTCAGCTTGGGAAATACTTTCCCCTAAACAGAGAAGGCAAGCTGCTTACCACATCATTGGCTATGCAGTCAGGGTGAGCACAATCACTGCCTCGCCATTGAAAACAGGTGTCACAAACACTGCCCCACACTGGGAGTTTGAACACCCTCAGTGCTGGAGGATCCCCCTGCCTGAGAGAAAAACCATATACTCCTTTTGGCAGGCACAATACGCCCCAGCTTCATGACACAGCTCTGGTGGCTGGCAAGGTCTGTGGAGACCACAGACAGCCACTTAGCTCATGGTGGGTCACTGCCTGCTAAGACCAGCAGCTGGGCCACTGTGGTACAACAGTGGCGTGTCAGTGGATAAGAGGGAAGGGCAGCAGCCACCTGCTTTGCACGATGCAAGTGAAAGGTGACCCTCAGGCTCCAGGAAAACTGCCCATCAGCTTGACTCTGCTGCGTTAGGTGAGCTTCCCAAACTAGGGGAACATGGACCCCTGTCCAGAGGGCTGGCATCAAGCATCGCTGAACTCCCACTTGAACCCTGCACGCTCAAAGGGTGCCTAGGTCTGGCGCCAGCCCCGTGGAGAAGGTGCACTTCAGACTGAACGACAGGCTCCCCAGCACTGACAAGTGCATGGACAGTAATGAACCGGGCCTCAACAACATCTGTCATGACTGCTCTCTCAAGGGGACCGCAGTCCCTGGGGGGTGCAAGACAGTGAAGGCCAAAGTCTTGAAGGACCAGCTCTTACCCACAGGTCATGGCGTGCCTTTTGAAGGGCATGTGGGTCATGTCCCCATCATGCCTGGCTGTGGTCCAACACAAAACTCCTCACATGCTAGATCCAGCAGTCTTTTGAGCTGGATGCAGGGGGCTCTTTCAGCCAAGTCTCTTCTGAGAGGTCTCATGAAGAAGGCTACAGCTGCGTGTCACCAGGGCTGGCAAGGAGCCTGCGTGCCTCAGGGACTGGGGCAAGTGCATGGCTACCAAGCCACCACACCTGAAATCAAAGCCCTCACCTTTCCCCTCTGTGACCAGAGAGGGGGATCAAGCTGCCCGTGAGGAAGGAGGCCATTTTCAAGGCAGGAGAGAAACTGCAACAGGTGTCCTCCTCTGGGGAACCGGAGCGGAGGCCTCTGAATCCCATCCTGGCTCACCAAAACCACTGTCCCGCCGCTGTCTACTATTAGCAACAGGAACGAGAGCAGAGGAGACACAGAACACAGGAGTCAGGAGATATGCCGGAGGACGGGACAGGACACGGTCAGTCAGGGGAGCTCATCTCATGCTTCAAAGGAAGGAGAACAGGAGAAACTTCCCAAAGAGCTTGCAGTTCAAGCAGACCAGAGAGAGGCAGAGGAGGGGAGAAGAGGGATCTCTCTGTCCCCATCTCACGGATGGAACCGAAGAGCAGAGGGACTGAACAGGGTCACGCGGGGTGGGGGGAACAGAACCCAGGTCTGGCAGGTCCCACTGGGCTCTTCTGCCACGCTCACTGCCCTAGAACCACAGGTTCAAGTCCCGGGTGCCTGCTCTTCGCAGTCTTCCCCAAGACCTGCTTGTAGACATCCCCTTGGAAAGAGCCACTTAACAGCAGGCTTGGGGCACTCGGTTCATCTGCCAAGAGCCGAGCCAGGCGAGCTGGGATCAAACTCTGCTCTGTGACCTCAAAGCAGGGAGATCTGGACAGGAGGCACCACCAGTCTGTCCTCGTTGAGCTCTCAGCCACCCCACACCAGCCCAGTGCCCTGCAAACCGAGGGAACTGCAGCGAAACAAAGCCCTTGCCTCTCACAGCACCCCCTCCATCACCCAGCTTACCCTGCTGGTGGCAGTGCAGGTAGACGATCTCTTCCAGGCGAATAGTCATGGCATAGTCCCAGTACACGCTGGAAGGGGAAAAGAGAGAGACCTCAGTGGAGCCCTACACTCGTGCCTTCTCCACTGCCCCGTTCGCTGGCCTGGCCTCCTGACTCGTTCACACCTTCGAAGGCAAGAGACGCAGGCCCGATCCCCAGCCAGAGGACACCAGTCAGTGAGAGCTGTACCCATTTGCATGACAGAGGATGCTGCTCTGAGCTTCACCAAACTGCTCCAAGGGAGCAGAAAGTTTCAGAGGGATCTGGAGAGGAAAACAGCCACCTGGTCCTGCCAGGAGGACAGGGTGGGATGGCCATCATGCCCCTGCAGAAACACCTCTTCTCTCTGCTTTCCCCCGCCTTCAAAAAAGCAGCTCAGCAAAACTGGGCTGGGTTACAGCCAGTCCTGCCCGACTGGGGCCATGTCTCTGCCTCAGCATCCTTCCCATCTGGAGGCTGACATGGCCACATGCACCAGGGGCTCTGGGTCCCCTGGCTGCTGGGACACTCTGGAAAGCAATCAACACTCTGCTCCTTGCTGTGGCTGGTCAATGCCTCCTGGGAGGTCGGCAACAGCAGCTCTGTACCCTGAAGCCCTGCACAGGTCCTGAAGGACAGGATAAGGGAGGGAGGGAGGCACATCCCCAGGAGTGGGCATACTTACTTTGCAGTCTGACCTCTATCTCCCTCCGTCAGGCCTGGACACTGGGAAGTTTTAGAAATTAGGCTGAAGCCCAAGCCAAGAACTCAGCAAAGCAGCCCAGAGGTGAAAGAAAGCGTTGCAGTGGGATGTAAGCCACCGAACACCCCCCCACCCCAACAGCACAGGGCAACGGGGAGACGGGAAGGGAAGGAATTAAAGTGAGATACAGAGACAAGGGTTGGGAAAAGAGAAGAAAAATGAGTTACACGCAGACAATCCTTATCTCTAGCCCAGGGAGAGCCCTGCAGGTCACTTCTGCACGTAGGTCTCCTGCTAGAGCAACCTCTGCAGACCAGCTCCCTTCCAGGATGACCAGCTCTAGCACTGGGCAGTCCCGAGGAAGGCTGCTAGTGGCTGTTGTGCAGTCCAGGCTGAGGTCCTGATACCAGAAGGGAGTTGCAGGGAGAAGCTGAATGCCAGGGCCCAGCACAATCCACGGACATTGTGTGGACATGGGTGTTGCCAGCCCACCCAGCAGGTTCCACGTGGAGGGGCCTGTGGGACCCTGCTTCAGGGACCCCATCCTCAGCAAAGAGATGGCAGGAGAGACACTGGGGGCTGCTAGCGAGTCCACGACTCAGGTGGTGGAAGCTACAGCCCCAGT